AAATAAATTTTTATTCTATCCTAAACAGTTTTACCACACTAAAAACTGTTCAAACTTTATTTTCAGATCTTTTAAATACTAACTAATAACTGCTAACCTATGCTTTTATGCAAATATTTTGAACTTAGGTTGGTAAAGAATACATAATTCTGATACTAGCTCAAGGTTTTAAAATTTCTGTTTGTCCTTTCAATGGGTTAAGAAATAAAGAAACATTGTATCTGAAGACTCTCGGTCCACCTATTATGAATGAATATAATGTGTTCAGAAAACTTTTTTAATTATACAGCGAGTGTGAAGTCCCAGGGAAGGCATGGGACGGAACGGAAACATTTGCGTTCCATCCTATCCCACGCGAAGCTCTGATGTATATCCATTCAATAATTGAAAATTACTCAATAAAACAAATATGATTTTTTCGATGATTTATTAATTGCTTCTGTGAGACAATTTTTTATACACGTTCCTCAATCGTGAGACTCTCGCACAGCTACTAATATAAAACATATTTATGATCATGATTCATCCAACATATGGTCCTCGGTCTTATTTACTTATTATTATTACAGTGATAATGAATGACTCATTTTAGACTAATTTGTTTTTATTTTGAACAGTTCTTTTCATTTCGATAAATAAGATTCGCAACGAATTTTCTAATACAACTAAAATACCAATTTTAATAAAGCCAAAAATTCAATTCAAAAACTTCGATGCATTTCAAGATAAAATTTTACTAAAAGATGTTTTGACAAGTGCCGTATACATACATTGAATCACAATTCATCTCTGTATTTATTTTCGGTCTCTTATCTCTTTATTCTCCATAATTTCTTAGCATTTTTCTTTTTAAATTTTCATTATCCGTTGAAAGTCTATCTTTCCTTATGAATATGAAGTAGCCATAAAACTTCATCTACACTCTCAAAAAAAAAAAGAAAACAAACATAATAAATACCTTTTTTTGAAGCATCATTATCTCTATAAGAAATCATTTCTGAAAGCGTTCCACTTGGTGATATTAATGTAACTTTTACATCACCACGACGATGAAAACTAAATGATACATTAGCTTGAACATGTTCAAGATTTGTTACATTTTCACATTTATCAACATCAATATTCACTTCCACACTAGCACCAATAGTTAATTGACTACAAAAACATAAAAATCAATTAAAATATTTCAAGACAACAAAAAAAAAACATTTAATATTAATTCTTACACAGGAGAACCTTTATATTCATGATAACAATCATATCTTGGATTAACATTAGTCCAATTTTGTGCTAAAGCAATCATTTGTCCAACATCAAGTACACCGAAACCAAATTTATCACTAACATGAAAACCAGCTCCATTAATCATCCAATCATCTGTTTCAGATAAATTTGGTATACGAGCTGTTTCAGCTATAATATGCATTATATCACGATAAGTTAATTCTGGATTTGCTTCGAGTACAAGTGCTAAAGCTCCAGCAGCAACCGGTGCAGCACCAGATGTTCCAAAAAATTTTGTTGTACATTTTCCACCAACATCCGCAGCAACAACGCCTACAGGAATAAATGGTTCACGAATTGAACGTGCATGACGACCACCAGTATAAGCAACAGCCATTGTTGATGGACAAAATTCACCAAAATATGTTGTTTTACCCAAATGATTTATTGAACCAATAGATATTACATTAGGATGAGATACATATCCATCAGCACCGCAATCATCACCAGCTGTTCCACCATTACCTGATGCCCAAACAAATAATGTACCTTTACCTTGACGTCCCTAGAATTAATCAATGACAAAAGAAATTTTTTAATAAAACAAAAAAAAAGCTATTTACATGTGTAACACCATAATCTAAAGCAGCATTAACAAGTGCACCTGGTGCTTCCATTTTTGTTCCATCATCAGTTGGTCTAAATAGAAATCAATTATTACTTTCTATTAAATAATAATAATATTCATTTTACCCCCATGATGCACTTTTAATAGATGTATTAGCAGCAAATAATGTTAATGCACGTGCTTCAAGTAATGTTGTAATACGTCCATCAAGAAGTCGAATACCTAATCGAATTTAAAAAAAAACAATATATATAGAAAGAAAAGAAAAGCGACTATAAGTTTTTCGATAATTCTTGACTACACAGCAATATATATATATATAGAATTGTGCAGAAAGACTGGTATGTGATAATGCATACAGTAGCAAATGAAGGAAATCTTTTTGTGCAATCCTATTTATATATTATATTCTGTAGTCGAATCCTTATAGTTGTCTTTTATATTTTATTTTACCAGCAATATATGAATTATAAGCAACACCAACTCCACACATGCCATTATTTGCTTTACCAGATGATGCTCCAGCACAACGAGTACCGTGACTAAAACAAAATTTTAAATAATTAATAAATGAAGTTTAAAAAAAAATGAAAAGAGCGAAAAAGAAGAAGATCATGCATTAACACACTCGCACACCATGCTAGTTAGTAATAAAATCTAAGTATTATATTAGTAAAATTTTGTAATATTTTGCATTCTCATCTTACTTATTTGAACTATCATAAGTTCTTGGACTTGGATCATGTTCAATATCGTTAAGATCATTTAAATCATAACTGAGCTGAGGTTTCTACGCGCACAAAAGAATATCAATATCCCAAATAGATATACATATATAAAGAGATTATATTTTGTTTTCCTCCCAATTAATCAGAAGAGGAGAAAAAAAGATTTATTCCCCCAAAAAACAAAAAGTAAATCATTTTTTATACTTACATATCGATCATTTAGTTCTGGATGTTTATGATCAAGACCATCATCAATAATAGAAATTGTAACACCTTTACCAGAATATCCAGCTAACCAAGCTGGAATAACATTAATATCATGATTTGCCGGAGTATTTAATTGACCTTCATTTTCCTAAATGACAAAAACAAAATAAATAAATCATTAGTATGGCATTATGAGTGGTTGCGTTTTGTGCTTCATCACTCAATACATTCTATTTAAAACAAAATCAGATGCAACTTGTAAAGCATTACTATTCACAAACATTAACCTATTTAATATATGCACTAGTGTTTTTCGAGATGAACGAAACTCTATTCGATTAATTTTCGAGTCTGAACATAAGTTCATTTCTTTTTCTTATTTCATCAATCACCAGACTATAGTTTACAACTTCATTCCATTACATATTATTGATAAGAGAGTATCAATATATTCTAATGAAAAGTATTTTTAGCCAATGAATTGAAATTTCTTCAATTGACGACATAAAATATGTAAATTGATCGTTTAACAAAGAATGACCATGTTTGTAATATTGAGAAATTGGTCGAACAAACCTTTCGTTCATTTTAAAAACGAAAGATGCAGTCCGTATCATAATAACCGATACTCCTTCTGGTTTAATTTTTAAACCTTAGAAAATGTTAGATCTTAGGCGAAATCATACTCCTATAGATTCGTGAATGCGCTACAGCTGTCTATATTAGAGACCAGAATCCTGATTAGGTGAGAAAAGTACTTTTCCCGCTCTGAAATGGCAGACTTCCTGCCAATTTTTTATCGTTTCATGGCAATTTTGAATAGAAACTAGATTTTGAAACGTTACTTGCCTTTCTCTAGCAGAAAGTGAAATAAAAATAAGCAGACAATATCGTTGTGAGGTAAATACAACTAGGAAGACCTTCAACAAGGGGGCGGTCTAGTGAAAGGTAGTCTGTTGTGAGAAGAGCCGGGTCACGATGGGATTGGTTTTGCCTACTTTCTATCAAACCTTGAAGCCCTCCAATCTTTAGAAAATATCGAAAATCCTGTTAGCTACATCAACTGTCTGGCTTATTTTACAAGTTTAATTGTTTAGTACAGATAACTAACAGCACAAAAATATTCATCAGCCGAAAGATAAAACTAGTAGAAATAATTGTTATGTTATCTAAACAACATACTGTAATTGAGGGCTTCGCGTAGAATGGAATGGGGACGGAATGGAATTATCTCATCCTAGGCAGAGCCCTGCTGTAAACCATACACGTTGTCTTTTTTGGGATGAAATCGATATTTTCATGATATATGACACTAAATTAATAGAAGAAATAAACAAAACTTGGTATAAAATCAGTACACCGTCCGAATCCAGCGTTTTCGCGAGAAAAAAAAGAAACATATGGAATATAAAGAATTTTCTTGTCTTTATACACTATAGAAATTTTCACGCCGAATCTGGTGTGATATTTGTTTTACTTTTTTAATAGAATATATCCGATAATAAAATGCAAAACGCGTTCATTCATTCATTTATTACACTACGCTTGTTAAAATTTCGATTATACTTACCAAATACCATTGTTTTTTATAATAAGTATCATCAAACGACATTTTAAATGATGAATTATCAGTAATAGATTCCATATCAATAGGTGATTGATTATGTTTCCAATGACGATATTTTTTATATAATTCTTCTAATTCATCATCATTTATAAATTCACGTTTTTGTCTTTCCAATGATTCAGCAATAGTTACATATTCAATCTTAAAAGAAAAATAACAAAAAACTTTCTTCGAAATATATCTTATTTCAATTATTTAATTACTCGTTCATCATGTTTTAAATCTTCAATAGCATCATCAAGAGCACGTTTAGATCTTCGACCATGTTTTCTTTGAATACGAAAATGATGTAAACCAATGCCAGATATCTATTTCAGAAAGAAGAAAAATAAAACAAAGTATTTAATAAATAATCTTATTTATAATAATTACATGTCCAGCATTGAATAAATTTTTTTCTTCGGCTATAAGATCTGCTATAAGATAATCTCGATTATCACCTGTTAATCGTACACCAATATCAATAAAATCATCATCATTCTCTTCTTCATATGTATTAACATTAAAAACACATAGAAATAAAATAACTAAAAATTTCTTATACATCTAGAAGGATACAAGAAAAAAAAACAACAATCAATATCAACTACGTTGATAATTTATTTATATTTTTTTTCCATAATTGTTTTAAATATGTACATTTCTTTTCAATAATATCTTCTGGTTCTTTATTAGATGGTCTCATCCATAATAATGGATTATCTACTTGCATTAAACCTCCTAAAATTTCTCGACCAAAATATAACGGGAATTGACCACGTTCTTCAATCATATGTGCATAACCATAAAGATTTTCATTTTTACTTTTATCAGCTGGAAATTCAACACAAAAATATGGTAAACCTTTGGGTATAACAGATTTTAATGTACGTGAACGATGATGATTTAATTCAATAAGTTTTTTATTTGTTGACCACATTGATTCACTTTCAAGTAATGCTTTACGAAAATACATAGGAACTAAATTTGCTTGATCTAATGGTACTGGAATACATTCAATATACATATGTGGTAATAAACGAGGATTTTTAAATGTTTCAATAAATATTGGTACTTGATTATGATTTTTACGATATAAATCAGTTAACTGTTCTTTTAATGTATCAAGTTCAGACAGAACATCATCGTCTAAAATGAATATAAACATAAGTATTTATTTTTAATTCTATTTCTGTAATCTAATGTTTTCCTCTACTTCTGACTCGCTATTGATAGCAATTTTAATCGACATATAGTATCTTTAGTATTCCAAATAGTTTACGAAACGGTATTTTTATAGTTGAAACTACTGTCTTTTTTCTAAAATTACCGTTTATTACACATAAAAGCTGTTTCGAAGTGATAAAAAAATTGCTTTTCATAAACAATATTAAAGCTTTACGATATGTATCTCATCACCACACACCTATAATAACGTTTCGATGCCGTTTATGAGAGGTAATTTCTTGCTATTTTCTGCTTTACAAAATGCTTACGTATGATAAACGATAATTTTGTACAATACATACTGGTTTAAATGACAAAATCCTCTTTTCTGACCTACCTGAATAATCATGCGTATTTTAAGCTGCTCGATTGATTATTCAGATAAACTAATGTTATCAGCTTATTCTCCTAAGTGTTTTTTTTTTGAAACAATATCTTAAGAACAAAGTGCAGTTTAATAGTATAAATATACAATATTAAAATGAATGTCGCACTAGTCCAAGGAGAGTTCAGCTATGTCACATATACTTACATCAAGCTTGTGCTTTTTAACAATATAAAGGACAATTGTTCTTATCAGCATACTTGATTAATTGTTCTGTCATAGAGACGTGAAAAGAGTTATCATAGACTAATCTTAGATAAAGATTCCTTATAACAAAAAACAATCAAACACAAAATACACTATTCTAATTAATTTATACTACGTAGATTCAAACAAAATTATTTTGAGGGTGTGTATGTGTACATAGTTTTTTATTGCACCATTTGTTTACTTAACCAGCGGCTACAACAAATATTAACCATTTATATATTTTTTTTTGCTGTGATATATGGTAATTCAATGTCAACACTCGATGACACACTTATCTTTACTGAGGGTTATCAATGGGAAAGATATAGTAGGACTTTCTCCCACAAAAAATCTCAAATTTCCAGGAGAATTTTTCATAGGTTCGACAACAATCGTCACAGAAAAGGAATGTTCACAATTTCACCTGTACTTTTGACACATATTCATCTGAAGATGCGATCTCTTCGAGGAAATATTACACATAGTCGATGATTTCAGCAGTTTCTGTCTGCTATTTGTTTCCTATATTCTCAAAAATAATTGAAAATCCTGACTCTGTTAGAAATATGTTCACTTAAAATTTCTGTAAGTTCTGTGTGTTTTTCCTATGAAGTGTTATATGAAGAAAGTTATTTATAATAAAAGTGTATATAAAGAAAATAAAAATTTTCTTTTCCTATTATAGGTTAACTTAAAGATAAAAACAAGACTTACTATATGAGAAAAAAATTAAAAATGAAAAAAGATTGGCTAAAAATCACTGCATTTATATCAACCAATTTTTAAATTTAGCTTTTACAGATCATTTATACACTGGAAAACTAAACAAAAACCATCGAATCTAGCTGCATGCACGTCTGAAATATGCATAAACTTATTATACTTAGTAGATGTTACGCATTTTTATAAATTTTCAATGAGAAAAACTCCGTTTTAGTGATTAATACTAAATTGCAACTATATGATTCATTTATTTATTCGCTTTCTTAAGGCTACCACTTGCACTTTCTACTAGAAATGGCACTTTTTCGTTTAAATCAACACTTAATCATCAGACCTAAATGCTATTTTGAAGTAGAAAATAGCAAGATATTATCCACTTCGAAGCAGCGTTTAAGTGTGAAAAATGTTAATTTTAGACAAAGCATACTACATTAAACGATACAATGCCGTTTTCTGAACTACCTATGATAGTAAAACTTTATATTGTCTTCTTCAAATTCTTTCGAAATGTTGTTGTAAAACCGAGCTCTTTTTTTTTGTTCAATCAATAAGTGTTTCCTATAATCATATCTTTTCGGTACGCATGACTTTCTCGCATTCTTCTAAAGACACTTGTCCGTTTCGATTCAATTGTATTATGAAAAGATTAGTAGGTAAAATAAAAATACACAAGTTACAACAGACAGATCAGACCTAGGATCTATATTACATACAGTGATTTGAATTGATATCTTACCTAAATGAAATCGACTAGATGAATGTTGAATAGGTACAATAAAACAATGTCCATCAACAAGTGATTGTTGTGGTGGTGCACATAAATACCATTGATCAAGTAAACCAAAAATAAATGACTTTGAAAGATTTTCAATACATAACCAACATTCTTCAAATGTTTTTTGTCTTTTTTTCTGTTCAGCTAATGCTTGTATACGTGACCAACCAGATAAATGACGTGTTGATGCTAATAATTGTCGATCAGCTGTCATAGTTTGATTATTTCTATTATTTGGTAAAACAGGCATCATATTCGTTGTTGAATGTCGTTCCATTTCAACAAGATCATTTAATGATAAACCTTGTCTCTCAGGATCTTTATCATTTTCACGCATTTTTCGAATTTCTTTTTTCATTTTTCGACGATCACGTTTTGCTACATGACCATATTGACGTTGATGACCTGGTTCATGTGCATGATGAACAGGTTTTTCAACACCATAACGATCAATGGTTGTTAATACAAGAACTTTTGGATCATTAGATCGTTGTTGTTGTTGTTGTTCACTCGTAGAATCATGTTGTGGATTACCACGAAGGTTATCAATATTTTTAATTTCATTGCGAAGTAATTCAGTCATTTCCTAAACGATAAATATTGAATTTTATTATTATTATTACAAAAACAAAAATGCATTAAATCTTACATCATCACCAGCAAGTTCTGCTCGAATAAGTTGTTTTCGTAATTCTAATAGATTTTCTTCGGATATTAATTCATCATTTTTTTCATCATTTTTTAGTTCAACATCAGTTGTTTTTATTTCTTCTTGTTCATCTGTACGTGCTTGTCTTTTTGGTGTTGATTCTTCATCATCATCTGTTGTTCTTTTCCATGTTTTTTTCTCATGATGATGATGGTGATGACGATGATGACGTTGATGTCGATCATCTTTTTTATTTGGATCAATAAATTTTTTCTTAGAAGATGAACGATGAAGATCTTCAGCATCATTTATCAATGACATTAATTTTTCCATAGACTAAAGAAAATAAATTATTGAGGAAAAAAAACAATTTTTATGAAATAACTTACACCATATCGTTCCGAAACAATTTCATTTAGAGGACGTTGTTCATCTTTTGATTGTTGTTTACATCGTTCATAAGCTCGTTGATGCCATTCAAGACCAGCATCACCAACTTTAGTTGGTTTTGAATCTTTGGTATCAGTAGATTGTTGACGTAATGTTGGATTTAATTCACGTTCATTCATTATTGCCTTTTTTTTAAAGAAAAAATACGTGAAAATTGATTAAACAGGTTTAAGAATATATTCGGGTTCTTTGTAACAGTACAATTGATCGAATTCACACATTCACCACAACAAGATTATCGAAAAAGATGGGACCTATGCTTGAAGAAAATATTTTAAAAGAAGATTTTCAGAAATTTTTGAAAATGTCTTCAAAAATTATCGGGGCAAGAATTTTTCTGAAAATACCTAGAGTAAAGATCTTCAGTTGTTCAACTGATTTTGAGTTGAGACTATGTATACAATGTAGATCTAAATGTGCTATGAATACTCTGAAAAAAGAGTTGATTGTTGAGGAGATATCGCATTTTTTAAATGAATGTCGTGGTTCCACTCACGAAGACTCATTTTTCTGCTTAAAACATTGCAGAGAGACAGACATTAACCAGAACAGTTTCAGGGTTTTTGATTTGCTTCTGTCTTGTAAAAGGATTACCAAACCTGCTAATTCTTATGAGTTCCTTAATGATTGTCTCTACGCAAAAATTTCGAGCCGAAATTCAAAACTCAGTTTTTCTGGTATTCCTCAGGAGAATCATGGCATTCATTTAAAAAATACCGTGAAAGTATAGTAACTCAGTAGCAATAAGCTAAGGCCACAAACACTTTTTAGAGTATCCATAGCTCATTTAGATCTATTTAATGCAAAAAATTTAGACTTAAAAGCGATTAGAAAGATTGGAGGACTTATCTTATGAGAATTTGTCTCATATTTTTTTTGAAAATCCGTTCTAAAAAAATTCTTTAAGAGTTGCTTGTAAAATTTTTTCGTTGTACATGGCTCTCCTCATGTTCGATAATCTAGCTGTAATGAAAATTTGACCCAGACTGGTTGTACTCATGCGAAGAATCGGAAATATTTTCGAAAATGGAGGAGCGTATTTTCAAGAAACTAACTTCCATTTCAGCTGTTGTTTGAGCTTTTTTTATTGCTTGTTTGTTTTCTCGTTGATAACTTCCAATTGAATCAAAATCAAATGGTTCAAGAGCAAATGTCACTGGTGCGGGTTTTTCTTTTTCCTAAATTTTCAAAATAAGAATAAATTGAATTTATGAAATTTTTATGTTTACTAATTGTTCTAAATCAGCTTGAGTTGGCATTGTTGGTCCTTTAACAACAGCACCGCCAGGAACATCATTAATATTGTCATCCCGAACAACTTCTTGCCATTGTTCTTCATTCTAAAAAAACAAACCAGATAATGTTTTGATTATGAATTACAAAATATTTTTTGTCTAACTTTGTTCGAATTTGATGATGACGAAGATGAAGTAGAATGACGACGATGATGATGATGTTTTTTATGTTTATGTTCATTTTTCTTCGATGATTTACCCATATTTTATTATGTATCGATAATTTAAGTTGATATTAGATGAAAAATCTATATTTCTGTAAGAAAGTCTATTCATGTCAAACAGTTTTTTTGTGCATAGTCGATTAAAGAAGAAAAATAATAAAATAATGTCATCAAGATTTGTGTAGGTGGTGTGTGATGACAACATGAAGGAAAGAAAAGGAAGGAGGAGGATGTAAAAGAACGCATCATTAATCATGTACAGAAAAAGAAAACTGAATTGCTTGGCATAAGTCTTAATTGATATTGTAAAAAAATAAGTTGTATCTGTAAACAGGTCAATAAGAAGTATCCAATCAGAAAGAATATCATAACAATGACATCTATAGATTTATTAAATGGAGTTTTTCTTTCGATTTTTTCTTTTAGGATAATTGTAAGATGAAATATCAAAATAAAATTTACAAATTATTAGTGTTCTACTGGTCGATATTCTTTTTGACACTATTTTTATTAGATTTCGATTGGAATGAAAACTGCGTCACTTTAGTTGAGTCATATTGTAAGCAATATTAACGTCAAACGTATGTCTAATGTATGTTATTTGTAAGGGCTTTTTTCTTCATATTTCATCATTTATCGAAAAATATTTGTCGAGTTGAGTATTTCTTTTTTATTTCACAGTGAAGGCATACAACATATTAGTTATCAATAAGTGGTTGATTATCAAACTAATAAAGCATCTTGAAACAGTTTCTCAAGTTTATAGAGTTTTCTAAATTTTATAAATCATGCCTTTCTTATCGATCTCATACAAAAAGACAGTAGATTAAATGCTTTGAATATTTTATACTTTGTAATATGATTGCATAAAGTATGTTAAGATTATTGCTGATATATCTTGAAATGCTACTTATTAATCAATACGTGTTACTTTTTTCTAAACTATCTGCACTCTCATCATTGATAATAGGACGAGAATGAATTCTATCATAAATTTATTCCGACACCAACGTGCAAACAAGTCTTAAGCAACAAAATCCAACTGCTACCATAAAAAATGAAAATGGAGTATGGAAGTTCAGTAAAAGTTTTAATTTTCATAACTTGTGCTTAGATAGCAAAGATGCATTAATTTCCATTATCGATTAAAATGACGAGCAGATTTTAATAAATGATTGTTCCAGTCATCTTCTAGTAGATGATACTTTTATTGTCAGTATTTTTCAGGTAATGCATTAAGACGAAAAAGCTACGTAGCTCGACGTCTATTCCTAAAGTCGATGAACGATGAACTTACCGGTGCAAGACAATAGCTAATATCGGTTGCCTTGTAACAAAATTCATTGAATATAAGAAATTATTTCTGCAAGACCATGAAGATGAAAAGAACTTCTGTACTCACAACACTATCTATTTACAAATATTTTTAGTGGCTGCTCTCCTAGAGATCACAATTCTCTTTGACCCTTTCGAGATTCGCTCTCATCAGATGATGTATTGAAAACTGTAGCTGATCATATGATTACCAAGTAATTTGTGATGAGATAGTTTCGTCTGCCTAACAGCGAACAATATCAACGTTGAAAAGGAGTGGTTTTGATGGTTGTAAGACTTTTTATTGAGAAACGGTTGATTTCTCAATACTCTGCATGAACGCTATTCTGAGATGTTACTCATCAATGTTTAATGGTTATATTTGATACGGCATGTAGTTATAATAGTGTAAGACAATAAAGTAGTTTCGTTGCTCACACACATTTGAGCGAAATTATTAATGATAATAATGATTAGATCATTCAAACGATTTCCAATGACTTTTTTATTCATTACAACAAAAGAAAATATATAAGGTCACTAAGCTTCAATGGTTTATTGATCGTTGACAATTTGTTGTGTAAACTTAAGCGCATTAGTCATGAATAATACACCAGTTATAGTTAGAGTGGTATTCCGACTACTTTATCTTTTGAAAAAGTCCGAGTTAAAGTAATATTTTTTTTGTTTCTTATATTTCATATTTTGAGTGGACTATCGCACACATTATTGCAACAGGAATGATATTTTGTCATAAAAAGCAGTTTAGTAGAGCTGTAAGATGGACATAGATTGAAACGTTTGAGATAGATTCGTGAAACTATTTATTTGAGTCAGCAAAATATTTGATTCTAGTTTAACGTGCTAAACAATAGTCATTGAATTCGTGTAAATTATACTGTCTCATCTTGTGCTTAATTATTATTCAGCTTGTTGTACTACGAGTATCTTCAAATGTCATGCAAAAACGTATTTTTCTTCGTTCGCTTCTACATCTTCTCAAACAAATAAGACTAAGTATTCTGTTTACAAATATGATTCTTATTTCAAAACTTAATTGAGTAATAAGAAAAATCCAGAGGCTCTTCTGAGAAGTCAAAAAAAATCATTCTTCCTACCTTAAAGTCAAATCCTAATCATCTATATTATATTTCGTGAAATCGAATTATTTCCTCTATCGAAATCTGTTAGCATCTTTTCAATATTCACATATATTCCGTCTTGGTACATGTTTAATACCGATCATATTGAAGATTTTCTCTAACAAGCAATATATTTATTAATAGGACGATAAAATGGTAAAGATGAGTGTGTCTGTAAAATTCATTTATTAAAGCGCTGATCACCAGCTATTAATTTCATTTCGGCAATTTGATTTTTTGTAGGAATAAGATTACCGAGATCAACAGAACGAGTTTTAAACTGCAGTGGCATCTGACATATGCCGACAGGAAAAGATGTAAATTTTATAAAGACACTTGTAGCTATTGATAGAAAAAAACTTCTGTGACGATTGAATTTGTTTTAACAGCACATGATAGAGTGGTCTAGGTCAAATTAGGGGTAAAATTTTTTTTAGCTGTTCAGATGAACTCTGTGATCTGTTCTTATTACTCAATCATGTTTTGAAAAAAAAGTGATATTTGTGATCAAAAAACTTGATCCTATTTATTCGGAAAGATTTTGAAGAGTACGAAGAAAAAAACTGTTTTTCATCATATTTCAAGATACTCATAACACAATCAATGAATTAATCATAAAGCACATGGATGAACTCTCATGACTTGCTTGAAAGATGTGTTAGTTGTAGTCTGATTCACAAGTTTCAGCTTCGTACCCTTGTCTACTCTTACCTTCAATCTCATACGTTTACTCTTACACCTTCAATGGCCTGGATTCTAATCAAAATCAGCTTGTGAACGTGTTGTCCTAGATCAGTAACGATTTTCATGTGTTTCATTTTGCTATGACGAAAGTAGCGAAAGTCATAGATATAATCAAGAGCAATCTCTGAGAAAGACAAACTAAGAGAATATGAAGTTCAGGAAAATGGTAGATAAGATTCGTACAAGTAACATCGACGGTCACAATTCGAATGTTGAATAATACACTCGAAGTATCATCATCTTCAACCAGTATCCATATGCTCATTTGTTGATACAGACAAGGAATGGTGCACACAAATGTGTTAACTTGATTCAATTCGATCTAATTAAATGAGATCAAATTGAATTGATTCTAGCGAAGTTGGTTTATCGTTATCGTTAGAGTCAGAGCTTGACGCCCACTGAATAAAAAATTATTATGTAGGAATCATTTGCATTTATGTCGAATATAGAATATCAATTCAAGAAAAAGAAAATGTTTTATGAACATGTCTGCATTCAGTTTTATTTCTGCACATTCATGTTGTCCTTCACACTTGTATTCATTGTGGACTGAACTTGCTTCTCCTGTTTTCGTCGCTCCAGCCTCGCTAATGCATTATTTCTCTTCGTTTCTTGAACGGCTTGCGTTGCCAAAGCGAGACCAATTGGTGGCATATTGACATAGATCGTTTCATACTCTCCATCTTTTACTAGGTAAGTTTCATGCCATACTCCATTGACGCCACTGAAACGATCATGTTTCATGTACCCCAACATTGTCTTTATGTGGATACCCATTTTTGTGTGCGTCCATCTGTGGAGGGACTCGTAATCACGCCAGTATTGAACAACCAAAGTTGTACTCTTTCGGTCATTTGCTCCGATGTATATGTCACCCCCCATGTAGCCCAACGTTGGATCTGATTCTAGTTCCACTAACATGCTACGAAACGCATTGCCTACTTCAATAAATGATTTTGTGAAAGGATTTGCTCCATTAGGTCGAAAGCCGATAAGACAAACCACGAAATCTCCATCACAACGTGCAGTATATGGTGTGCGAATGATGTCTGTGGAATAAGGGGTTGGTACAAAGTTGTAATAGCGTAGTATTTGTTTGATGAGAGGATAAATGACAAAAATGATTGATAGAACACAAGTAATAATCGTCGGCAGAAAGAGTGAAACCAAGAGACCGACACCGATAAGATGATGAGGACTAAAGAAGGAAAGAAGTAGTATGTATTTGTTGGCTCCGTACTTTAGGCTCTTTAGATGAGCTGAGATCGGAATGACTTTATCCCAATTGTTCTCGATATTAAGATGCTTCTTGGTTGTATTGTTATCTTCAAAAGAATATGAAAATGCCATGACTTGATGGATTTTGTTTCAAACAGTGCTTCGTCTATAACATTTATTTGCCTTATTGAAATGCGAGTCTGCTTTTTTTGTTCTTCTCGTCAGTTATTGCTCTGACAGCGTAAGACTCGTGCATGCATTGCCGTCGAAGGATATTATTTTTCTTCATTCCTGTTGCACATTTTCGTAGGTAACCTTTATTCAACAATACACAGAAAGAAACTTATAGACAACAGAGAAAAAGTTGAAGAAATGCGCGCGAGCATTTCATTTTTACCTCGAAAAATTCATAGTCCTTTTGAAAAGCAACTTTTCGTAGGAATAGAGAATCGATTGACACAGATATTGTTATAGTTCAAAAAAAGAAAATCGAATCAAACTCTGTACGATTGCTAAGCTAAAGGAGAAAAAACTTGGGAAGAGATGTAAGGTATACAATTGGCTATGATGTTGAAACATTGAACTGTTGCTTAATAATTTTTGTCGTTTAAATTTTGA